ATTTTTGAAATGGTTGGTAATTATTATACATATGGCATAAATTATTTTGCTGTTGACTCAATTCCCATAATCCTCAAAAATAATTGCATCATGATTCAATTATTTATATGTTTTAATAGTGACTCAATTAATTGTATCAAGGATCTATGAATTTCAACAACATGTATAGTAATTATCTCTATAAGTTGGTCAGGATCATCTTGTAGCTGATCTCCATCAGAAAGGATTGAAAGGTTCAGGATGGGCTTGAGATTTCCAAGGACTTTTTTTAGTGCATTCTTGGACTTGGATCAAAACCTAATATAGTTATCTTGGATATTTCTCTGCAACTCATTAAGGATAATTTCATTGGCTCTGACTAATTTTTCTTTAAAGAGGATCTTGAATGTCTTTCTGAGGGATTTGAGTATTGATGAATTGTTGAAAAGCACTTTGTATATATTGTTTGCAATAGGATGAAGTTTGTTAGGTTTTTTGTTTCTTATTATGAGATTGGTTGCTTTCTTGACAGATTTGATTGCAGTTTCATAATGTCTCAGAGAATTTAACTTTTTGGTTGAGACTAGTTAATCTCTTTTTGGTATATTATTGTCTATAACATTTTTGATTGTTGTGTTTAATGTTTCCCATAATAGATTGGGCATTGCCATACAATGCAGTTCTATATGTCTATTGCATCACGTTGAATTGTTCCTTGCTGGTCTTCTGAAACTGATAAGTCTTAATTAAAAAGGATATTCTATTGGGTTTGTATTTGAACCAATCTAATATTGTATCAACTTGTTTATGGTTGGTTGATATGGCACATTGTTCTGAAACTTTATAGCAGAGAACTTTGCTGGCAAGTTTTTTGGTAATCCAGATCTGATCAATCCTTAATACACTGGTCAATATAATATGTGTATACGGTGTTCCTTGCTTATGGCTTTTGCGATATCTATAAAATTGGAATGATATTTATAGATATTTTTTTTGAAGAAGGGGAGTGTGCATTGATTGAAGAAGCTGTTTTGATATAGGAATTAAAATCTCCAGAAATTATGATATGTTTTTTATGATATTTTTGAATAAATTTTCTGATAGAAGATACTGCCATTCTTCTTATACTTCTTTCATGTAGTAGGTAGCAAAAGATTATTATAATATCCACTTTTGGTTTGAATTTGAGATGTGTGGCACACCAGAATTTGTTTGTTGAAAAGGTTTCAAATATATGAGTGGCTATAGCTTTAGTTATAATTATACAGGCACCATTGGTTGTTGAGTTACTTGATTGACTTGAGATAATTATGTTATTATTGAATGTTTTTGGTAATAGGTTTGATATGGATGTTTTTGTTTCTGTTGCACACAGAATGCTTCTTTTGCTTTTTATTGCTTTGATAAGCTCACTAAGTTTTGCTTTTTATGTTAAACCTTTTTGTAATATTGATAAGGTACTTTAAGGAAGTATGAGATTTGTTAAAAGTGAGTTGAGAGTTGGACTGGTTTGTATTTATCATTAAATAAGTTTGGGAAGGAGAGTTATCACTGGTTCAGTGACTCAGGTTCAGTTATAAATTCAGAAGGAAGTCTAGTAAAGTGGAAGAATTTGTTCAAAGTTTTGATATTGTCGTTTAGGTTAATATTGTCTATGAGAGATAGTATAATATTAGCATTGGTTTCAAAAAGATATTTGACAGATTTAGCAAGATTTGGTAGGTCTGGTAGTAGTGGGTAATTCATTCTTTTGGAATTTCTCCAATGTATTTGTTTCTGATTTTTGCAATAGTTTGTTTAAAGTCAAGTGCTTCTCTGTTCATTTGGTCTTTGGAGATATCCAATTCTTTTTCAACTATTTGGTAATTTGGATTTTTAGATTGGATGAGATTATTATTAACCTATTTTGGTCCAAGAGGTAGTTTGATAAAGAATTTATACTTCAGATCCTTAATAAGTTTGTCGGCCTCTTCCTGGGTGGTAACTGGTAAAGGGATAGAATTATTTTTGCTATACTAGTGAGAAGGTAAAAGTGGACGTTTCACTTTGATATAATTAAGTAGAAGTCATTTCACTGCATAATTGTTATCTTTGAGAAGTTGAACTTCTCTTTTAAAGTCATCAATACTATTGTTGACAGGAAAATATTTGGTGATGTAAGTTGGAAAATCTTTATATATAGGTGGAAGTTGGAGCTTGGGTAGGGGAAGGTCAAGTATAAGTCAGACAGTTTGTTTGGCATATAATAAAATTCTCTAAGCTTATCAACTCGAAACTTGAGGTCTGCAAGTTTGCTTCTTTTTGTGAGTGGAAAGAGATGCTTTGTTTCTTTATTGAGTTTTAAAGGATCTGCTAGAAAATCAGGTCATTTTGCAAAGTATGAGTGGGCAACAAGTCAAAGTTATAAAATGCTCTAAGACCACTTGTGATGTCGCAAGTATCACTGGCTTTTATAATTGGAATTGCTTTGAGGAGTCTTACTATAATTGATATGGAAATGTCTTTTGAATCCTCAGGAAGTTTGGGTAGGTTTTTCTAAATCATGGCTTTGTAGGTTTGGTATAGTTCTTGGTAGTCAACTTTTTCTATAGATGGGTCCACAAAAAAGTTAAATCCATATTTCAATAATTGAGCTACTTGCCAAAATTTAAGAAGATTGAGATATGTGAATTTAAAATATGCAATGAATAGGGCTTTGTTGATCAATTTTCTAATTTTATATTTAACTGATCTTGTGATATAACCCAAGTTATTGGCCTGCCAATAGTTAGAGTAGAATTTGTCTTTGATGGATTTGTATTCCTTTTGATGTTGTTTTTTAATTAGCTCATCCTTGGCAAAAGTCCTGAAAAAATCTCAGTTTCTGTATTTGATTTTTGCAAAAATATTTTCAGTGTTGTTTTGGAGGTCTGGTTGTGTCGGCTTTGATTTTAAGAAAGAGGTTAACTATATCTTTGAGAGTTTTGTCACATTTGTTAAACTCTTCACATAACTCTAATATTTTTTCCTGTTCGTCAGGTAATGTATTGTTTCTGATATTGCTTGTATTAGTTGGTGGATCAGTTTGTGTTGATTCTAGTGTTTTGTTAATTTCATCCACCCAGGAGTTGGGAAGAGATTCCAAAGTTTTCACTGATTGGATGAAAAAAGACTAATTGTCAATTTCCATATTAGAATTAGAGTTGACTGGGGTACTAGAGCTAGAGTTGTTTGATGAATATATGATGTTTGATGCATGTGGGCTGGAATGATTGTCTGTATGCTTAGGAGATATTGCATATATGCTATATTGGTTGTTATTGTGTTTAGGGGTAGCTGTATGAGATGTTTCATCATCAGAATCAAGTTGTATGCTATTGTTGGTGATCATTTCCTCAGTTGGTGCAGGAGTGTTTGGAGGGGGTATGGAAGTTTCAGTTTTCTGCTCCAGTGAGAAAGTTTTGATTGCTTCGTCGATGTTAATATCAATTTTATTCCAGGAAACATAGAGTCTTTAAGTAAGTTTTTGTTTAAGAAGTTTTTTTATAATTCCAGCTTTGTTATTGTCAGATAAGTGAAAAGTATGTCAGTATTCAAAAAATGAGTTTATTGTTTCCAAAGACATAGGATCTAAAATATTGGTTTTAACTTCAGTATAGTGATTGTTAAGTTTTTTTTTATATACTTAGAATTATACTGAGATTACTTTGAGAATTTCACAATTATTTTCCTGGAGGCGTACTAGTGTCAACCATACTTTTGAAGGGTTTTCAAATTTTGGGAGGTAAATATTGGCAGTGGGATTAATAGTATAAATAATGTTAATGTTTTTGTTTTTGTGAAAGATTATGGTTAGGCATTTGTTAATGTCAGTGATAAGAACATCAAGTAGTATATAAGTTGGTTTGAAGAAGATCCTCCAGGGTCTTTTACAGTTTTTTTTGACAAAAAAATTTTTGACTTCCTTTTTTGATAATTTTATTCAGATGTAAATATGTTTGAGAAAAAGTTTTTTTGTTTTATTTTCTAATCTCTTATATATATATATATATATTATTTTATATTATTTATATCTGATATATCACTTACTATTTATACTTGATATACTTATTATATTACCTTTATAATTTCTTATTATCTACCCATCACTTTTTCTTGTAACAATATATACAGTATCTTATTGAGAAAATTTTTTTTTATATTTTTAAAAACAATTGTAATATATAAATTTTTATTTTAATAATTATTTTATTGCATTTTATATAAAATGAAAATTTTAAATTTTGTTCAAAGACTTTTGTAACAGATTTCAATTTATAATTAATTTTTTTTTTTTAATATTTGATTTCAAAAAATCATATATTAAGTTCAAGATAAAAATAAGATAGTTTTGAATTTTTATATTTGGTAATTTTTATATTATTTGAGTGGTGCCAATAAAAAACAAGACTTTAACAATATAATTTATATAATCGAAGTTATTTATAAGAGTTTTTTTTTTTTAATTTGAAATATTCAAATGGTTCTATATATAATGTAAATAATAACAATCCTTAGTAATGAAAAATGTGAAATCACAGCGTGTCACGTGAAAACACCAATTCTTGTTCGCGCACAAGAATAATAATACTCATAAAAAATAGACGATTTTTTTCCTAAAATAAAAGACATGGGGGTGTTCCCCGTATGGAATTTTTACAGCATACGTGCAGCTGCATTTGAATTGTTTTCGAGTGAAGTTTCCATACTGCAATAATTATATTTCCGCTGGCATATAGAATCGCAATTTCGCTACATGACGATCCGTAATAGTCATGTGCAACCAGTAACTTACGTTTTTTTTGCATTTTGCAGGAGTTCCCGTGATCCGGAAATTTCACTCGAAAACAATTCAAATGCGGCTGCACGTACAGTATACTGTACAAATATGTATGAGAACACACCCCCATGTCTTTTATTTTGGAAAAAAAATCTCTGCTCAAAAAAATAAAATATAAGGATTGGAGTAAAATAAATAGATAAAATAAAAATACACGTATTTCCTAATAATAATTAAATTCATTGGTCTTATTTGTCGTTGTTCCTCTAGTATGAATTTTGCTGTGACGAAGAAGATTGCTTCTCGTCGTGTAAGACTTTCCACATCCGTTAACATGACATGTATATGCTAGGAAAGATGTGATTATTGATACTTCTGTTATCATAAAGGTAATAAGTATAGAATTATTAGAAGAATTGTAGACCTACATATTTCTCTAGTATGAGAGTTAGAGTGAGTTTTCAACGCACTTGGAGATTGAAATGATTTTCCGCAGATACACCTATGTCGTTTTATAGGAGTAGGAGTCGCGACTTTAACGCGATAAGAGTCTAAGGTCAAAACGCCTATCGATTTCATTAAGCCTTCGTTAGTTAAATGACCCAATAACCTCGAGTATCCCGGGTTATCGGTATCAAAAACACAGCCTTGATTATCAATGTGGAAGGTTTTTCCTTGATTATTAGAATAATAAAGTTTATAATCAAATTGATTACTCATAGTAAATGTAATTAGAAGAAAAAGCGAAAAAAAAAATTTTGAATAGCCTATTCGACACTGAAAATCTAATCTGTATTTATAAAAAAAATTGTAATTTATAAATATGATGATAGCTTTTTTTCCACTATGTCACGTTTTTAGAAATGGTCAATCGACAACTTCATTGTGTATAAAATTGCTTAATAAATATATTTAAAAAACAAAAAATCGCAATTTGTAGGACATTACCACAGCTTGCACCTAATATTTGTAATAATTTATATAAGCAATTTCAGCTGATGATTTTAATTTGTGAGACATTATCACAGTTAATCACAACTTGAACCTAAAATTCGTAATTATTTATACAGTATAAGCTTTTCATTTCAAATTTTTAATATTTCATTATTATCACCCCAATTAATATTTTCTAAATAACTTTAAAATTTTATATATTGGGTAATTATTTTTGAAGGTGGACAGGGATTTTTCGGACACTATAATCGTGCTCCTTAAAATTACATTGTATACGTATTGTTTAAAAGTAGAGGCCGAAAAAACACATCTATCATTTTCATAGCCTTCAAAAATAATTACCCGTATGCTGTAAAAATGCCACACGGAGAACACCCATGTCTGGAAAAAATCTCTGCTGTATATAAATAGATTTCTAATAAATCATAATGTCGTTTTTTGGTCACACTGCATTAGACATAACACGACGATACTCTAATTGTTTGTTTTTGTGACGAAAAAATTAGAATAAACAACTTATTCAGACCTTATAGTGAGCTTTTAATGCGCTCAGGAACTATAATGCTCCTCAACAAAAGATATACTGTATGTACGTTATTTACTGAAGCGAATTATCTTATGAGTTTAAGTTCAGTTAAATGGTCAACCGTGACAGGGCATTTCGGATCATAAACTCCGCTTTGACAGAAGATTTCCTTCATTATGTAATTTATAAATGACTTGATTACTCATGTGCGTATGTAATAATTGTGGTGTTATATAGAGACAGATAGAATAGAATAATTTACAAATCCTTTCTTTCACATCACATTTGTGTCACCAATACACGACTACGGGTCTCAAAAAAGATCGTAATTAAAAACTGAATGTCTAGTATGTGTTAATTTTCTTGATGGACTCGGGGACAGATTGTTATGTGTACAAACATAATATGATAACACTCAACCGTTTTTTTACTTTCTTACATATAAAAACAACTAGTATGGCTTCAACCACCGTTAGAATAGTCTCACAATTTATTATATAGAAGCTTGGTTCGAAATATTTTGCGAGCGAACAACTGAGAGAAAATTCTTTACAAGACGTTTTGGGAATATTTATGCGCATTGTAGAGGTTATTCTTCCTTTGGACAACTATTAATCATTAAACAGCTTCCTAAAAATTTATATTATTTAATAAAGAGGATATAATAACATTACTTTAAATAAATAAGCGATGACTCTTTTCTAATTATAATTCTTTCTGTGACGAAGAAGATTACTATTTGTCGTGTAAGATTTTTCACATCCTTCAACATGACATACAAAAGCTAAAAAAAGGTGATTATTCAATGCTTATATAATTATAGTGAGTTTTTGACGCGCCCGGAGACTGAAATGCTTCTCCACAGAAGATGCATGCATGTTTGGCGGAAATGAATTTGTGGCTTCATTTTGATAGGATTTCTAGGTTAAATCACCTATTGAGTTCATCAAGATTATGTCAGTTAAATGGCTCTTTAGGACAGGGTATGTTAAATAATCGATTTTAAAAATCCAGCCTTTATTATGAACATAGGTTTATAATTTATGTGGGTGTTACCGAGACAAAGTTACCTGATTATTAATATAGTATAATTTATAAATGACTTGATTATTCATTTTATTTAACACTTTAGAATCTTGCTGCTTATATGGATAATTATTTTTGAAGGCGGTGAAAATGATAAATGTGTTTTTTTCGGCACCTACTTTAAACAATACATACAGTATACAATGTAATTTAAGGAGCACAGTTATAGTATCCAAAAAATCACTGTCCGCCTTCAAAAAGAATTACCCATATAACCACAGTAACGAGCATGTTGAAATTGATAGTGTTACATGCAATAAATAGACAAACAGGTTTTTCTAAAATCCATGCAATCGAAATCAATGTTCTCCTGCATGTTTTAAAAAAAATGACATGAATAGAATAGATTTATCTTACACTTTATTCGATTAGTTTTTTTTATTATTGTACTGTATATATAGTTTGACATAATCGAGGTTTTGATGCGTATGCACGGATAATGCGGATTTTGAATATTTACGATCAAGTCCATATGCAAAATTTTTTATGCTTCTTGAATGCCAAACGTCCGACTAGGATTGCGCAATTTTGATTGGCTGGAAATAAAGAGGCCAAGTCATATGTACAATAAATCCACTTTTTGTACAGACACAGACCAAATAACTTTTCACATTGCATTATCTATTCGTATGATCATAGTAAACGTATCTATGATATGTTGTGTTTCACGGCCTATAATAAACGAAATTCTTTTTTTTTTAAAGGTGAACGGTGAGACATGGACTGTACCGTATGCGAAAATCTTTGAGCCTATGAAAAAATTTATTTTTTTTAAGGTGAAAGACGTATCATATCGAAGTACTGAATTTTGGGAACAAATAAATTTAGTATAAAATAAAAATTTTCAAGCTTAACTTTTACATGATATTATTATTAATCTTATTAAAAAACTATATAATACTAATTTAATTGATTATTTGTTTAATAATTGATATTATTGGTTTTTAACAATAATTTTCGTATTGACATTCTGTTTAAAATAATTACAAACCATTATTTTGCTATTCTATTTTAAACCTGTTTAATATTTCAATCTGTTGAAAAAATGTTTAAAGGTATTTTTATTAAAAACATATAAGCAAACCAGTTATTTTACAGTATATAACAATAGTATTTATATATTGTTGATTTTTTGAAATTTTCTTTTTCTATTCTTTAAACAAATAAGCTTTAAATTAAAAATATAAAGATTTTAAGAAATACTATTGTATCGGAATTAAATCCAATTATATATTTAAACAAGATTACCGAATTTAGTATTTGTTTTAATATGATCTTTATAAATTTTCTTTATTTAAAATAAATATATATATAATTGTGTATAAATTTTTATTTAAATCAAAAAAACTATATTTAACTTCTAAAAAAATTTATATATACAGTATTTAATAATTAATCAACTTTTATATTTCTAACTAAATTTACTCAAACTTGTTTAAACTTATTTTTACAATATTATAATATTATTATTATTATTAAATTTGTTTAAATTTGTTTAAAACCTGTTTTTTATAATAATTATAATTATATATAAAATCTAATTTTAATATATAATACATAATTTAAAATTTATTTTTTTTTTTTGAGGGAGAGTTTTTCCTCATAGGTAAACAACATTTTTTTATTTAATATTGTATATAAAATAGTATACATCATGAAAGAAACAACATCTCTTATGTACATAAGTAGCAAGTTAAATATTAGCTTGCCTACGTGAACACATCTAGCTAATATTGAAAAAGAAATTCAAAACAATACTATATACTAGCTATGTCTGAATAGCAGTTATGCCTATCTACTCAAAAAATTTTGCAAAGTCTTTTTATAAATTTGTAATTATAGTGATTGAGAGAGAAAAAAAAATAAATATAACCAAAACTAAAACTAAGTAAAGTAAACTATAAAATCTATAAGTAGAAAACCAATTATTTCTCCAAGAGAACCTCTGAACAGGCTCATTGTCTTATTTCTCCAACTCTTTGGTTACTATAGATAGTAGAGTATACGTAACGTTGTTTGTTATTATAGTTATCAGTAGTGATGTGATTGATATTATTGTTGTGATTGTTGTTATTATAATACAAAACTGGTTTAAGCAAGTTCAGTTTTTGTTTTGATTTTTAAATAAAATCTGATTGAATGATTGGAGAGTGCTGATCATCTGAAGGGGTAAACTAATTACAGTTTTTTGGACAAAAAATTTTGGAGATTTTGAAGTGACACAGTAAATGTTACCATAATAGAGTTGTGTATAAAGATTGTATTAAAACAAACAGTAGATTCAATAACTAGGGCTCCAAAAAAGTACCAAACTGATATCGAAATGGTATCGAAATGGTACCGATCTATAGTAAATTTAATATATGGGTTGTAACCTACTCATATGTTTTTATAATAAATTTAAATATTGAAATGGTATCGAAGTGGTATCATTAGAAGCCCTACCAATAACTCTGTTTAAGTGTGTGTTTTTGAAAGTATTTGATTTAACGAGTATGATGGTAATAATGTAGATAGTTTTTATGATAAAATAAGAATAAGGAGATGTGCAAGAAAACAAAAGAATAGAGAACTGCCACAGACCTTTCCCCATGTAACCAAAGGGTAAACAAGACTCCTAAACTTGAATAAACTTTGATTAAAGATTCCAACCCACTGCACCAGTTGTCTTGAAGGTTCTTGAGTTCTTGAACTGGGATTCATTGCGATAAAGAAAGTAAAACACTTTTTTTGCTTAAAATTATCATAAAAGAAAAATTTTTAACAAAATGAATGTAAAATTACCATAAAAGGAAAATTTTTAACAAAATAGATGCAGAGTTTTTTTATAATTTAAAATTTATCAATATAACAATATATTATGTTTAATTTATATTTTTAAAATTGGTTTATTTTTTATTTTATAAATTTTATTTTAAAAAATTTTTAAAAACTTTAAATTTAATATAAAATTTTTATTTTTAAGTCGAATTTTACTGAATTTTAAGTTAAACTAATTAATTCAAAATTTATTATATCATTATTATTATTAAATTAAAAATATACTATATATTTGGTAACCTAAAAATATTACTTATTATACTATTGATTTATAGGTTTATAAAATATAAAATTAATATTTTATTATTAATTTTTAACATAATATTAACAAAGA